AGCGGCTGGTGAGTTTGAACCACAGATCTTGCAATTCGAATGAACTTGCGGTCCAGTGTATTATCCCACAGTGCCACACCAGGACTGATTCATTAATTTGTTTGAGCCCTGATATAGCTTTGTAGGATCAGTGGGACTGGTAAGCACAAGGTTAGCAGTTCAAATCCACCCACTACTCCAATGCATATCAGGGTCGATATGCATTGGAACTAACTCAACAACTATGAATGTGTTTGTTCATTCATTTGTCAATGTGTTCTGAATAAATATGAAATAATGAAGTGTGGCATTAATTATTGCAATTCTGAAATAGCAAAAAGGGGTGCACAATGAACCCCTGTTGTGAAAGTTGTGTGTGTTTCGACGTTTCTCCGTTCTTCTTGGTGGGATAGTCCTGCCCTTATCTTTCCCAGATTTACGGTCTTCAGGTACATTCCGTCTCATAGCAGGCCTATAGGACGAAGTGGAACCGCTCTATAATGTTCCCAAGTCTGATATCTTTAAAGATGTCCTGTTGGAAGGAGCTCTCGTAGCGTAGTGGTTACGAATCGGGCTGTGAACCACAAGGTTAGTAATTCCAAACTACCAGCTGATCCGCGGGAAAAGATGAGGCTTTCTGCTCCCGTAAAGATTTACAGCCTCGGAACCGACTCCACAGCACATAACAACAACAATGTTGTTGCTGGAGTGCTCCTGGTGGGCTTGAACCCACCTGCCTTTCTATTAGCATCTGAGGGCTTAACCATGGCTCCACTAGGGCTCCTCCTCCAATCTTTAACCTTTGGAATTGACAAAATACTTTACAAGCGAGTGCTGGACCTGAATAGTAATCCTGGCCTGCCACCTACTGGCCAAGGATCATCATAACATAACTTCAATGTTTTGTCAACCTTGGTTTTCTTTAGAAACTGGACTTTAAGCTTCTGCTAATAGTGGACGATTTTCTCAGATCATCAAAAACAAGTCATTGAGAAAATGGGTCATCATTTTTTTGGTCCTTTCCCCAAAGTCTCTTCTAGTTTTGTGATTCAAAGACTCCATGATACTCAGTTTGTTCTTTATTATCCAAAGGGTAAAGTTGGTGGTGGTGGTGATGTGCTGAGGAGTGGGTTCCAACTCATCCTGACCCTGCGCAGGGTTTCCGAGGCTGTAAATCTTTATGGGAGCAGAAAGCCTCATCTCTCTCTCACGCAATGACCGGTAGTTTCGAACCGCTGACCTTCTTGAGGCTAGCACCCTACTCGTAAACATTATTCTACCAGAGCTCCATTAGCCTATGCCACAAAAGGAAGGGGGACAAAAGCAGCCCATTTTATTTATTTAAACGACCAAGGGTGGAGGCCTAGACTTCAAGCATTACTGTTGAATAAACGAGAGGGTGAATAAAGGTTTGATGTTTTATTCCTGTTGTTGTTAAGTGTGGTCATTTCCAACTCATAGCAACTCTGTATAAGGTTTCCAAGGAGTGGCTGGTGAGTTTGCACTGCTGAACTTGTGGTTCAAACCAACCTTTTGGTCCAGTGCTTGGCCCCACAGTGCTACAGCAGAACTTTATTTCTAGCCCTCTGGAAAAATCCCTTCAGAGGCTGTTGATTTGTCTGTCAGATTTGAGTCTCAGTTCTGCTGGTGGCTGAAGGTACTTAATCTCCTGCCTCAGTTTCATCATGTGTAAAATGGATATACAAATACTTATTGTATGGGGCTGTTAGGAGATTCCAAATGCAAAGTGTTTGGAAAAGTGCCTGAAACATACCAGCAGTAAGCATTCAATATGATGGCTATTATTATTGTCAGTGTCACCTAGTAATGGTACTGTTGTTGTTGTCGGTTCCGACCCATAGTGACCCTGTGTGGTGTTTCTGAGGAGCGGCTGGTGGGTTTGAACCATTGACCTTGCGGTCCAGTGCATTAACCCACAGCGCCACCCCAGGCATCCTTAGTAATGGGGTTAGATGAAGATGACGACGTATGAGAGCCATCCAGCATTGAGCCTCTGGACCCAGCTTCCTTCTAGGGACACCCTAGCAGAGGATTGATAAGCAGGCTCTGCCAGTAGAGAAGTCTTGCAAAGGGCAGGACTACTGCGAAGCCAACACTGCCCAGGTAGCCCAAACTTCTTCAGCCATTTTGTCCTGTGGACGTATCATCTCACAGACATTCTGACCCTGAAGTTAGGATCCATCTTCTTTCAAAATCTCCATCACTCGTTCACTCATTGAGGCCCACTGTTATTGTGAAGTGCCATCGAGTCAGTTCTGACTCACGTTGTTGTTAAGTGTCGGTAGAGTTGATTCTGACCCATAGCGACCCTGTATGGGATTTCCAAGGAGCAGCTGGTAAGCTTGAATTGCCGACCTTGCAGTTCAAACGGCTTTGCAGTCTGGTGCATTAACCCACAGCGCCACCCCAGGACTCCAATTCTGATTCATAACAACCCTGTATAGGGTTTTCAAGGCACAAGAGGCAGTTTGCTTTGGTAAAGATTTATAGTTTCAGAAAGCCCATGGGGCAGTTCTACTCTGGGTTCTATAGGGTTGCTATGAGTTAGAAATAACTTGGGGGGCAGGGGGAGTTGGAGGGGGAAGTTCTAATGGACAAGAAGCTGGAAATAAGAGAGATTTTTCTTTCATTATCTACGTTCCTGGAACAGAGTAAGCAGGAAATAAATACTTGTTGACTAATTGGAGACATCAGTGAATAATCTATTGAAATTCTCCATGTGATTTCACTTTCTCTCTCAATGCAGCCCCTCTCCAGCCTCACTACCCCTTTAGGTATTGAAAGACACCATAGGCTTTTCCTCCTTTTTTTTTTTTCCTTCTAAGAAAAAGGTCACTTGTTAGTAGCTTATATCCTTTAAAAATCCCTCCTCCTTCTGGTTTAGAAAAAGGCTTTCATCTTGCCTCCTCCGATCTCCTGCCAGACATTTTGAACGTGGGCTTGACTGACTTCTTGTTGGTTCCTGCTTTTGGCTCCTGAGCAGGGTGGGGCTGGACCACAAAACCTTGTATCTGCAGCTCCCTCTACTGTCTTCTGACTGAACTGCAGAGCTCAACTCTGGAGCCCAAAATTCCAACCCCTTTGCTGTTTGCGTCCATTCTGACTCATAGCAACCCCACCTGGCTAAGTAAAGTGGCCCCTGAGGGTTTCCAAGGCTTTCATTTTGATGGAAGCAGACCACTAGGGCTTTCTCTCTCCAAGTTGGAATCACTGACCTTTCAGAGAGCAGATGAACATTTCATCAACTGTGCCATTGGGCTCTTTCAACTTGAGAGAGACCCCTGAAAATATGGCTGTCAGCACTGCCCCCATGGCTTTGTCCATTTGAGTGTATCCACTATGCTCCCTAGATATGCCGAACACCAGTGAAAGCCATTTCCTCGGATACCTGGAAGCCACCAGGACCCCAATACTTGGACATTCCATGTTCCATCACCAGTTTCAATGGAGTGGACTCTGACTAATGGTGTCCCCAAGGGGTGTCAGAGTAGAACTGTGCTCTGGAGGGTTGCCAAGGGCTGATACTTTGAATGTAGATCTCCAGGACTTTCTTTGGAAGCACCTCTGGGTGGTCTTGAGCAGTCAACTTTTGGGTTAGCACCACCCAGGGAGTCCCATAGAATGGAGACCAATAAAGTAAACTTATTGTCATGCAGTCCTGGTGTGGTGCTGTGGGTTAGTGCACCCGACTGCAAAGTCATTTGAACTGCAAGGTTAGGCAAGGTCGGTGGTTCAAGCTCACCATTTGCTCCTGAGAAAGCCTATACAGGGTTGCTATGGGTCAGAACCGACTCGACAGCACTCAACAACAACAATTGTCATGGAATTGATTCCTGCCTGTAGAGACCCCCTCCACTCACATCTCTAGAAGAGGTCTCTGTCCCCACAATGTCCTCCACTGACCCTGAGCCATTTGGGGTCCATCTAAATCTAAATTCTCCACCTCTTGTCTCTTCACCCCACTCCCAAAGGTGCCTTATTTTTTTCCCCTGCCCATCCAGAGGAAAGTGGCTATGTCATCCCCTGCCCCCACAATGCGATTTCCATCTCTCTCCTCATCCCCCCAGGGAGATACAGTCCAGTCCAAACTGGCCCTCTCCGGTGAAGATGCCATCAAGCTGCTCCCCCTGCTCCCTGGGGCTCCGGAGATAGTGTGATAACAGGCAGATGGAGAGAACATTCCCAGAGTGGACACGCGGGGCCCAGAGGCTGTGTCGCTTGTTGCCTCCCTCCAAGAGACCTCAGGGCTCTGATGTGTAATAATCACTTCTCCTTAGCTAAGGAGCCCTCCTGGTGGAGTGGGTTAAACGCTGGGCTGCTGACCAGGAAGTTGGCAGTTCAAACCCACCAGTCACTCCACAGAAGAACAAGAAGGCAGTTAGCTTGGAGCCCCTACAGTTCTACTCTGTCCTCTAGAGGCATAGGACTTGGAATCCACTCAACAGTAGTGGGTTTTTCTCCTCATTCCACTTTGAGTTCAACACCTGCAAGACCTTAACCCTCATGGATGGAGCCTCGCAACATAAACAGCTAACTAAACACAGCAAAACCTGAGCCCGTAGGAGCTCCACGGGGCTGTTTCCTGCCTTTGACTATCACTGTCTATCAGTGGAACATATCTGAGTTGTCCTCTTCTGACAAAAGGGGCCCGGTGGTGCAGTGGGTTAAGCAATTGGGCTGCCGAATGGAAAGTTGGCGGTTTGAACCCACTAGCCAATCGGTGGAAGAAAGATGAGGCTATCTGCTCCTGTAAAGCTTCAGAAGCCCTGTGTGTAATAACCACTTCTCCTTAGCTAGGGCGCCCTCCTGGTGGAGTGGGTTAAACACTGGGCTGATCACCAGGGTGTTTGGTTGGGTGTCTGTGAGTCAGAATCTCTAGCTGTTTTCTGCCCTTCACAGGTTTTCATGTCTATCAGTGATAAGCAATTCCAGTAAACTATCTGAAAGTAGTTGCATCATCCCGTGGTAATAATCTCTCTGAAGAGACTCCCTGGCTTTACCTGACTGTGGAAGGACATCGATAAAGGCACAAAACCGTGCCTCCAAATCTTCCAGGTCAGAGAAGGGGCGCTGAGACCACACGGCGGCCGCAATCAGAGGACATCTCTCTATGACATTCCCAAACACTTCCACAAAGTCTCCGAAGTCCATGGAGTTGACCTTGTCCATATCCATGGCTCGGATTCCAGCAGAGGCAGGGGCCAGTCAGCCCCACTGCCGGGAGGGCGAGCAGGTCCACTTGTTCGTCCCACGGGTCTTGTTTGCTGGCCACGCAGGCTGGTTCTGGATGTGATCCCAGCTCTGCGGGTTTTAAACACCATGGGAGAAGTGTTATGTAATGAATAAACACAGGGGGCAGAGGCCAGCGCGAGGTCAACGCTTCCCGCTGGTGCCATCAGAAGAGCCAGTGTAGTGGACACTCTGCTTTGTTGACAGGATTGCTTTTGGTGCCGTTGACATTGGATGTCATCATGGTCCCCTGGTGTGGCATTGTGTGATTAAGCACTGGACTGAAAAGGTCATTTTGAACAACAAGGTCAGTGGTTCAGACTCACAAGCCAATCCTTGAAAATCCCTATATAAGGTCGCTAGGAGCTCTGGTAGCGTAGTGGTTACAAATAGGGCTGTGAACCACAGTTCACAGTTCAAACTGACAGTGGTTCCGCGGGAGAAAGATGAGGCTTTCTGCTCCCGTAAAGATTTACAGCCTCGGAAACCCTGTACAGGGTCGCTATGGGTCGGAACCGACTCCACGGCACATAACAACAACAACAATGAGTCAGAATGGACTTAATGGCACTTAATAACACTTGGCTGCTCACTGAGAGTTTGGCAGTTCAAGTCCACCCAGAGGCACCTAGGAAGAAAGGACTGGAGATCTAAGTCTGAAAACTCACTCATCCACTGAGAACCCTGTGAGCACAGTTCTACTCTGACCACACGGGGGTGCCACGAGTGGAATCTACTTATGAAACATCATCCACTGAGAACCCTGTGGGGCACAGTTCTACTCTGACACACACGGGGCACCATGAGTCAAAGCTGACTCCATGCAGCTGGTTTTTTAAGTGCCGCTGAATCCGTTTGCACTCATAGCGACCCTGTGTAGGGTTTCCAAGGAATGGCTGGTGGATTCCTCCATACCAGGCCTCTATGAGTCAGAACTTAAAAACACTCAATGCATTAGCCCTTTTGCATGAATTCAAATTGTCCACTTTCTGACCATCTTACATTCCTTTGATGGATGTGATTGGTGAGATCATCAAATAGGAAAAGTTAAATCCCAGAGTGCTTGTATAAACATTAATGTATGCATGAATTCCTGAGGTTAAATTTAGCAGTTTATTGAAAGGCTAGAGTTAGCCACTCATATTTCTGATGTATTATCAGTTGGACCAGTCCCTGGAGAAGGACATCATGCTTGGTAAAATGGAGGGTCAGAGAAAAAGAGGAAGACCTCCAATAAGATGGGCTGACACAGTGAGAGCAGCAGTTGTGAGGTTGGCACAGGACTGGGCAGTGTTTAGTTCTGTTGTGCACAGGGTCGCTATGAGTCGGTACTGACTCGATGGCACCTAACAACAACAACAACAACATCATTGACTGCAATTCCCACAAGGGAACATCACTCATCCCACTTCCTCCCTGTGTCTCCTGTGTCTGTTCCTCCTCCTCTGACCATTTTGAACTTTGTCCTTGGGTAAACGCTGCCCTTTGGATCATAAACGGTTGATGAACCTAACATGCGTGTACTTCCCTAATGTTATTCTTCCTCTATCAGACCTATAAGGAGCGTGGTGGCTCTGTAGACTAAGCACTGGGTAAACAAGGCAGTCTGAGCCCACCAGCAAGCAGCCCCATGAGAAATAGATGAGGCTCTCTGTTCCTGAAAGATTTACAACCTCAGAAACACCCTCCACAGAGTTGCTATGAGTCCGAACTGACATGAAGGCGCTTAACAACAAAGAACTACAACTTTCAAGAGAATAGATTTTGTGTTTTTTGCAGAAAATAGGAAACAATCTTTAAATGTTTTTGTTGTTACGTACCATCGAGTCGGTTCCGACTCTCAGAGGAGCAGCTGGTACATTTGAACTGCCGACCTTGCTGTTCAAACTGACCTTGTGGTCCAGCGCTTTACCCCACAGCACCACACCAGGACTCCTTCAAAAGCTACACTCCGAATTTTCGGTGGAAACATTTCAAGTGTGTCTGTCCCTTTAATTACAGCCAGTCACTTCTCAGGGAAACTGATGCACAAGTGTTTTCTCCATAATAGACCAAAGAGACAAATTGCTTTCCTAAACCCATTTGTGATCTGAAGAAAACTGGGTGGTGTTGTAGTTCATTTACTTTGGCTGCTGGCAGATCTCTGCTCATTGGTGGAGGATTGAGCAAGCAAGGTAAATGACTACAGGAAGTGGATCAGCCCAGTGGTGAGGTGGCTGGCTGTCAGCTCGGTAGGCATGGATTCCAGGCCTGACTGTTATTCGGTGCCGTCTCATAGTGACCCTGCGCACGACAGAACGAAGCATTGTCCTGTCCTGTACCATCCTCACAATTGTTACAATTGTTGAGGCTGCCACTGTGTCAATCCATTCTATTGGGAGTCTTCCTCTTTTTTGCTGACCCTTCCACTTTCCCAAGCATGATGTCCTTCTCTAGTGACTGGTTCCTCCTGATAACATGTCCAAAGTATGAGAGACAAAGTCTGGTCATCCTGACTTCTAAGGAGCACTCTGGCTGCACTTCTTCCAACACAGATCTGTTTGTTCTATTGGCAGTCCATGGTACTTTCAATATTCTTCTCCAACACCATAACTCAAATGCATCAATTCTTCTATGTTGTTGTTATGTGCTGTCGAGTCGGCTCCGACCCATAGCGACCCTAAACAGGGTTTCGGAGGGTGTAAATCTTTACGGGAGTAGAAACCCTCATCTTTCTCCCGCAGAGCAGCTGGTAGTTTCGAACCGCAGACCTTAAGGTTCACAGCCCGATTCGTAACCACTACGCTACCAGAGCTCCTTATTCACTGTCCAACTTATTCAGATGCATATGTTGTTGTTGTTGTTATGTGCCATGGAGTCGGTTCTGACTCATAGCGACCCTATACAGGGTTTCCAAGGCTGTAAATCTTCACGGGAGCAGAACGCCTCATCTTTCTCCTGCGGAACAGCTGGTAGTTTCGAACTGCTGACCATGCGGTTTGCAGCCTGATTCAAACGCCTATCCTACCAGAGCTCCTTCACATGCATATAAGGTTATTAAAAATACCATGGCTGGGGTCAGGTCCTACTATGCAGATCTAAGTACGGACCCTTCTCAGACCTTGATTTCATCATCTATCAAACTGCTGTGGAATAAGCTCTTTCCTTCCATCTGTTAAATGGGTGGTATGAGGACACACCAAGGCTTTAGCACAGTTCTGGAACCGTATGTAAGTTTCTATGTAATCAATAGCTGTCAGCACACAAAATTCATCAAAGCCTTTTGGACTCGTTAAGGACATTTGCCACCACCTGTTTACCAATGCTTCATATTGTAGTGCTTGGTGGGATGTTGGAAGTTCTGTCTTCAACATTTGACATACCAGCAGGCTCAACCGGATGGACAGGTTTCAGAGGAACTTCTGGACTAAGATTGGGGAGAAAGGACTGGCTGGTGATGGCTTCAGAAAGTTTGTTTCCTGAAATCTCTATGGATCACAGCAGAACCTTTCCCCATTGGAAGAGAACGTCGCGTGCATGGTGAAGTAGAGGACCAATGAGGACGAGGGAGACAGGAGGCCCTCAGTGAGACAGATTGGCTCATGAGCTACAACAATGGGACTGGAATGTGCTGACGATCGTCAGGGTGAGTTCAGACTGCTGGACGTCAGGTTGTCTTGAGTTGGAGTCAACAGCAGCTGGCCACGTGGCCAATCTGAATTTAATACAAGGGGACTTTTGAAGCCCTCATTGTATACGTTGGTGGAAAGATGTTTGTACCTTGTTAGGTAGTAACCCTGCCTATCTTAATTTTTTCCTTGTCTGACAGCTGTGATGGCACTTTTGTTAAGCGCTGTTGGGTCAATTCCAACTCGTAGTGACCCCACAGTGCACAGTAAAACTGCCCCAGAGGGGATAACTCTTTATGGAGGCTGTTCGTTAGGTTAGCTGCTGGGTGGGTTTGAACTGCTGACCTTTCAGTTAGTAGCTGAGTGCTTAACTATTGCTCCACCAGTGCTACTTTGTGGTGGCTTTGTTGTTGATAAGTGCCATCAAGTCTATTCGAACTCATTACAAACCTATGTACAATAGAAGAAAACACTGCCCAGGCCTGCCCCAGCCTCACCATCTTCCTGTCTGAACACATTGACAATGTGTCTGAAGTAATCAAATGCAAATGCTGATATACCAACACTTGACAAAAATGATCATAGGCGTAGCAGAGAAGTTCAGGGGGATGTTACTGAGGGTGTACCCCATGAGGAGCCGAGGAGAGAGAAGGAAAAGAAACAGGGAAGTAGACTGGGGAATGATGAGGGGACAACGCAGAGGGAAGAAGGATACTGCAAGGAGAGGTCATCTGGGACATCCCCCTGCTGCAGACTAAACACTCGTAGGGGTCTTACTTTAAAAAAACAACAACAAGAGAGAGAGACAGACTCTTTGCTTTCAAGCTAGGAAGCCATCTGGCCAAGCATAGCAGATGTGCCAAGAAGCATACGTTCTAAAGTGAATTCCCAGTGAAAATGAAGTAGAATAGTCACAACGAGATCACAGGGAAGTATTTGTCACGGTGATGTCACAGTTAATGTTGGCAATATGACACATAACCTTTTGTTATGTTACCACAGACAAGACACACCGGGATGCGTGTGACTAAATTGAAGTTGGTGGCGTAGTGAGTAGGTTTGGTTTGGACTGCTAACCACCATTGAGTGCCATCGAGTCTGTTCTCACTCATAGCAATCCTGTATAGAGTTTCCAAGGAGCAGCCAGTGGGTTTGAACTGCCAACCTTGTAGTTAGCGGTCCAGTACTTCTCCTACAGTACCACACCAGAACTCTAACTCGTAGAGAGTTACAGCCTAGGAAATCCAAAGAAACAATTCTATAAGGTTGCTATGAGCCATGATTGATTGGACAACAGTGGGGTTTGATTTTCTTGAGAGAGAGGGTTGTTTGATTGCT